AATCGATTTTTATATGAAAAACATAAAATCAGCTGTAGTTCCTTAAATAACGCTTCAATCGAGAAAATAAAGAAAATCTGTGATCACTCGTATCTCCGATCAAAAATCGATTTTTATATGAAAAACATAAAATCGGCTATAGTTCCTTAAATAACGCTCCAATCGAGAAAATAAAGAAAATCTGTGATCACTCGTATCTCCGATCAAAAATCGATTTTTATATGAAAAACATAAAATCGGCTGTAGTTCCTCAAATAACGCTCCAATCGAAAAGAGAAAGGAAATCTGTGATCACTTTTATTTTCGACCAGAAATCGATTTTTATATGAAAACATAAAATCGGCTGTAGTTCCTTAAATAACGCTCCAATCGCGAAAATAAATAAAATCTGTGATCACTCGTATATTCGACCAAAAATCGGTTTTTATATGAAAAACATAAAATCGGCTGTAGTTCCTTAAATAACGCTCCAATCGAGGAATGAAAGAAAATCTGTGATCACTCTTATTTTCCATCAAAAATCTAATTTTTATATAAAAAAACTAGCTATACCCAGTGTGCTTTGCTACCCTAAAAGGAATATAGATAAAAACTCCACTTAACGGTTTTGAAGTTCATAATACATATATAACTTTTCCAGATATACAATTTTTGACATATGGGAGATACTTAATGTTCTTAATGCAAAATTTGAAGATTCTAACTCCCATTGTTTTCAAGTTCAACGTATTTTTCAATTTTATTTATGTGGAAGGTGCCACGCCCCCTGTTAATAGTCCGATCACTTTTTGTCTTAAATAATTATATTGACACTAAAATGGCTTCGACAAAATTTGAGCGATCTAACTAACTGTTATATTTTCTCAGATATACTGATTTAATATTTTCTTAATATGAAAGGTGCCACGCCCACTATAGCCATTCCGCCCATTTTTCCCAAAAATATTCTTATGGATATCAAAGTTGTATACGGCTTTTAATCTTATTTTGTATGTGGGCGAGGCTCCTCGCCCACTAGATCATAAAAATTGTCTGTAGACTGTTAAATAACTTTGATGGCGGAAATATCGACAACTTATGATATCACATAAATAAGAGAATAATAGAGTAATTGTTTTATTTTAAAAATATACGATTGAATTTTATAAAATTTATAATCACTTACCGTGATAATTGCTGGGTCATATTGAATCTGCAAAGAAAAACAAACGTTGTATTGAGATTTGATCAAAAATATTTATAAATTTGTATATTAAATCACCTTAAAAACTATCTGCAGTAGGGTATTTTAAAAGCAAAATTTAAACATACTTAAAAATAGTTTATTTCTTTTTCTAATTTTCCATATACAACTGTTTAAATGGGTGGGTGGGTGTTAAAAACTGTTATGTTTTACTTATACATACATACTGCGAATAACTATGAGAGTATTTTAAAAAGAAAATTAACGTGTGTAAGTATAATTTTTCGTATTTTATAGACTGTCTTAACAATGATTACGCTTTAAGTGTTTTATATTAATTTTTCAATTTTATTTCCATTTATATTATGTTTGTTGCGAAATTATGTTTATCTAATAATTAAAAATACAAGTTGCTTTATGTTGTTTTTTTTTTTTGCAAATTTTAATTACGTGTTAATAATGATGACTTTGAGTATTTTAAAAATGTTTATAAATAAAATTAAACTGCCCGACTGTTAAGATTTTAATTTTAAACATTTCATAACTGAATAAAGTTTTAACAGTTTAATTTTAATGTTTTTAAATATGGAGCAATTTGAAAGGATTAAATTTGAACAATTTTTAATAGTTATTACGTCATATGTATATGTATGTATGATTTACTCTTATAAAGATTATTCTACTTTATGGAGCGAAAAAATTAACTTAATAAATAATAACAAATTTTTGTAAAATAAATCCCAATTAAATTGATCTATTTTACGAATTAAACTATTGAAAACAAGTAGGAAAGTATAGTCGGGCATGGCCGACCATATAATACCCTACACCATGAGTATATTTAAAAAATTTTTATTTTTCACAAAGAAACCTTTATGTTGAATTTTACGTTAATTCCAAAGTATTTAAGCAATTTATTGATAAAAAACAAATTTTGTAAATGAGGCTTATATAGGAGTATAGGTCAAACATAATAGTTAATTACGTTGTGTTTCATTGCGATACAAATGGTTACAAGTCAATTTTAGACGTTTAAGACATTTTTTGAAGGGGGGTTTGTATGGGGGCTAGGGTCGATCATTACGAAAATTTGCAGTGTCATTTATACTTATATAAAACTTATTTGTGCCAATTTTTAAAGAGATAATAGTATATTTGACGTAATTATGGCATAAAAAGCCCAAATCGGGAGGTACGGTTGTATGGGGGCTAGGTGAAATAATGGACCGATTTCAACCATTTTCAATAGACTTCGTCCTTGTGCCAAAAAACATGCTTGGTCCAAATTTCATCAAATTATCTTGAAAATTGCGGCCTGTACCTTGCGCACAAGGTTTACATGGACAGCCAGGCAGCCAGCCGGACAGACGGACGGACACGTCTTAATCGACTCAAAATGTGAGTCGATCGGTATACTTAAAGGTGGGTGTAGGACCAATATTTTTGTGTGTTACTATAGTGGTGTAGGGTATAAATACTAAATAAAATATAAAATGTTTATATGTATGTGTTTGTATGTCAACACTCCTTGGTTAAGACAATTTCTTAAGGAAGGAGAAATATACACTTTTATGTTCTTATTAATAAAATGATAATGCAATTCCCTCCTATACACATTACAGGTAATCTAAGGAAGGACAAATGTACCTTAATAATGCTTAAATATACTAGATTTATAGTATTGATTTATAGATAATTAATTGAATTATAGATAATTAAAGCATAATTATCTTAATCCATAAATTACTGATATCTATCCCTGAATGGGTTAATCAAGTCGTGGCATTCATGATTTATTACTGATTACTTTGCATTTTTTCGCATTTCTTATCCCAAGATGAGAAAGTTAATTACAAGACAAAAACAAAATGTCCCATCAAATTTTTAAATACTATGTACAGATGTGGCTCGTCTATGTATGTATCGTTTTGTATACAACAGTTAAAATTTAATGCATTGTCTCAGACACATCTATTACATCAGACATTATGTCGGCGAAATGAAGCGGACAAAATCCTGGTGGAGAAAAAAAAACAAACTTAATTTACGCCCAGTGGTCAATCACTGATTTTAAACTGTAATAAAAATGCTTATAACATATAATTGACCGAATGCATGAGAGGTGGTCAGGGTTGTAAAGTAATGAAATTTGCTAATCTTCAAACAATTGATCAATAATAGATCGTCTCTAAGTATTCATATTTTACATCATGATTCTAATATGCTCTAACCATGAGTTAAATTGAACTACTAAAAAAAATTATTCCTAATTATTCTAAAACTCTTGAATATCACATACATATATATAGTAGTCAAAAATTGATCAAGTTGAGTTCAGGCTAGGCAGACTACTCCTATCTTCCAAAAAACATCTCTTTTGTGTAAAATGAGACAGTACACTATACTCTTCATTCGATACATCTTTACTTACAAGAAATCTAGCTCCTTACTTTGTAAGCGATCTTTATCGCCTCTACGATAACATACCAATCGAACAAGGTTTCATTTGAACTAGAGCTCTTGACGGCAATATTGACATAAAATATTTAACTTAACAGTTTGATGCGAGACATTGAAATGGAATCTAAAAGGGTTCTTAAAATACAGTATGTTCAAAATAACATGGAAGCTCAACGATTTCAAGGAGGCAACATACCAACTCTATTACTGATTCTACATATAAACTTAGAGCAGGCTTTAAAAGGAACGTAAGTAAGTAAGGATTATTTGAAGCTCTTAAAGTGGGGACTTTTAAAAACATATTGAAAATCTAGTGATCATAGGTTAGACATGTTCTCAAGGCATTTGTTAATACAAATATTCGGTGTTCTCAAGGCATAATCCTGAGGGGCCGACGTACTATAATTTGTCACTTTAAAATCCTTTAAAGGATTAGCAGGTCTTGATTCCACCCTATCTTGGTGTATTGCAATCTCGGGGTAAAGAGGAGCTACCAGTACCTCTAGTCTGCCTGGACTATAAACTGGTTATGCCAAATATATCATCGGTCTTTCCTTGGAATGATTTGACATGGGATTGACACAGAGCACCACATAATCTGGTACTACGGGTGACCAGTTGACCGCAGGACTTTGTCCTGGCTGATAAGTTATTTGAGGTTCCTTCGGGATACACGTAGTGGCTGTGGTTAAAACCCAAATTCGCGGAAGGGGGTACATGGTTGAAAGATTGATACACGGTGAAATATAATTTTTCGGGATAAGAGCAAGACCGTGGATTAATAACATGTTGGATTTGAGCTGATAATGCAAAGATTGGGTACGTGTTGGAGTGAGATGTACCATCGGATACTTGTATCTGATGGGTGAGAGGGATCCTGAGTTATAGGTATCTGTGGAGATGTCGGAATGACAGAAGGAGTTACGTTTCAAGTGGCGGGGGAGTTGGTTGGGACGTTGTGGAGTTCTAATACCTTAATCTTTAAATTATCGGTGATTTTGCTTCATGGTTGAGTGTGTTGGAGTTTACTCTAAAACATGCTCAACTTATCACTGAAATAAGTCTGGCTAATTAAAATATCAATCTGTCTCTAGGTGCTGTTGCTGAAACAAAAGCCATCTAAGTAGTGTGGTTGGTTTAATAAGTCCAGGAATGCACTGGGGTAAGTCTTTAGATGATGGGAATGTTTGTAGTGACAGAGCATTCCTCATAACATCAATAGCGTCTTTTCACCTGAAGTTCGGTCCGCCCATTCTATCGACTCTAACCAGTGATTGTCTTTTCCTTTTTTAGGGTAAGATTGAGCTTGACTAATGATGCCTGTCATTCCCCAACGTAACTACTATGGCAAGAGATTGGATAGCTCGAGTAGCCAAGCAAAGGTTGTACCGGCACAGCCATGTACAACCACCTGTGTGTAAGATACACAATGGGCGGTGGTGAGTCGTCAAATCAGTGGTAGGTGTTCTATAGCGTGTTTCATCCTAGTCACATATAGTATCAAAGTATCATAAATTTGAAAAAAAAAAAATCAATTCTTTTCAATGTCTGTCCATAATAAAATTTTACATCACCATAATCATGAGACTATGTAGCAAACATATTTATCTACCAAATGCAAGGAAAGTTAAGTCGTTAGTGTCATAAAATAATCGAATATGGAAAATGCAATCATTTAAAGCACTAAATACATAAATCTATAAAAACAAAAAGTTATAGACATGACTACCAATCGTACATAATATATATATGAGCATTTTATAACCTGCTGGTAGAAATTTCTTTAGCATTAAATTCTTTTATATTGATAGATCTTAGATGATTTGATTCTTGAAATGTTTATCTTTTTGAGAGAAATGAATGATCAGTTATTTCAAAACACTTTATTTCCCTAACATTGAACTAACGTTTTCTTATGAAGTTTCTGGCATAACATCTAAACAACCAGTAACAAAACAAGTTCTTCTTAAGTTTTCCTACTTGGCTGGTTCAAGTATTTCTGAGGATGTTGGAAGTTCTTTCAAATTATCAATCACAAACCACAGTTACCATATGATTGATTTTGTTTGAGTAAACTATCAGAGAATTTAATTCCTTCGAAAAGGTTTATAATATATTTTTTTAAATTTCACTATTAATCTAACAATACACATAATCTTACAACTGTAACCGATTAAATCAATTGCAAATCACTATAACTAGTGAGTGACTTAGCAGGTGATTGAGTGAGTTCACATAACTGCACTCACTCACTTCGTTAAATAGTATTTTGCTAAAGTAGGAAGTTTTTTGTGAAACAACTTTTTATTTCAACTTCTTCTTCTTCTTCGAAAAGAAAAACTTGGTCAGTAAGACCAAGTGTATTTGATTTTGTTTCCCCCAACAAGTTGTTGTAAAAATGTTTGTTTATTGTTGTTTATCCATCACTAAATAATTACCAGCTTTTTAGTTTAATACAAGTATTTTTATTGATTTTTTTTTCTTTTTGCTTCATAAGATTTTATGAAATAATATAGTACAATTAAATAACTACAAATTATACATTTTGTGTTTATTTTCCAATTTGATTGTAATAACGAAACGATATTGAAATAATAACTCTACTAATTGGTCTTCTATTGGTCAATAGGATTGTATTGTTTTAATATTAAATATGTTTCTAGTGGATTTGTTGTGGCGATTTTCAAATTAAACTTGTAATGAATGTTTATGAATGTGATGTTTAACTGGTATTAAAGGTGTTCACAGTTTCGTGAAGAATAATATATAGGAGAGAGATTATGATTATGCACATTTCCATTTCTTCTCATATGTCCAAAACAATTGGATTTAAATTCAATTTTGCGATCCAATTTTCAGTGGGACAAATTTCAAAGAACTGACACAAATATGTCAAGATATAACCCCTCCTAGGACATTATTATAGAGCCAAGTTCGTTTTATTTACAATTTTGTTATCGGACTATCAGTGCACTTTCCATAGGAAACAATTTGGAGAAGAAAATGTTATCGGAGCATAATCCAATATACCCCTCTTGATTGTCGAGTGTATCCCAATGGAATTCATTCTTAAAACTAGTCACTTCTATACAAGTTACATAAGACTTTTACACACATCACACACATACTCGAGCAATGATTGTCAATCCAGCAACATCTGCATCAACCGAAAGTTCTTTCCTATGAAAGAACTATCGGCCACAGTCGAACTATTACAACAACAGTAATCTTGAAACACTTCCCGCATCTTGGTTTTATTGCAAATGCGATTGACTATAGTATCTTATCCCACAGAAATCAGAAAGATAATGTCTTTTAAAAGCCTGATATTTGGTCCCAGAATTTCTCAACACTTGACACTTATAGCAGTAAGGCTGTTCGATATGTGTAAGTCGAAGAATTCATTACAGTTGGCAGAATTTGGGTAGTGTTTAGGCAATTTTCAAGGCATGTTAAATAAGTGGCCCTCTTTGGAACAAGGGAAGCATATGGGTGCTGTCGATAACATGTTCGATAATTTCTTGATGGTAATGGTTTGCTCCTCGCTGTTGGTTTTAATATTTTTCTCTATTTGGTTGGCTTTAAGAGGTGTTACCAGTGACTAAGATTTGACGAGACCAAAACTAACCTACGGCTAACCCGGGAAACTAGTTGCCCTAGAATGTTGGTTTAAGGCCTGATATATTCTCCAGTAGTATTTTAATAGGCGTCACCTATTGTATGCAGCGTCGGTCAAAGGAAAGTGTTTACGTAGTTCTCAAGGCACGTTGGATCAATGACCTGCTTCTGAACTTGTTTCAGAGGTATATGGCTGCAGTCGGTGACATATTAAAACAGTTCTGAAATGCAACGGGTTCGTCAACGCTGTTAGCATCAATTATTGTATCTTATTTGATCGAGTAATGTATAATGATTCATATGATTGCATGTCTTTCCGTAACGTGATCACTATGACAAAGAAAATGAGCCTGATGTATGAAATAGTTGCATACCAAACACATATGTCTCAGTGCTGTTACCGAACAGGGGCTATCGTAGGATTTGAGGCTGTGCAACTTCAGTAGAGAAATGCATCTGTATTGAATTTGTAGCGGGATCCCCATAGGAAAGAGATTAGATAGCATTAGTTATAGAGAAAACTGCTTGTACATTGTACGTTAGAAAACACCTGAATGTAAGTTATTCGGGGAGCAATGAACTTCATCTCACTTCAAGTCCTAGCAAAGTCGGACTTTTTTTACTATTCCGAATCTTCCTGTTTTTTTTTTATAAGTTCCATTTTGAACAATGTTGCAAAAAACTTGAGTAACCTGCAAGACTCCTTACTATTACTAAAACAACAACAAATATAAATATGACTAATGTAAAAATTATATGTATGTCTGTTATGCCACTTAAATGTGGCATAAATATACTGACTGTCTGTAAATATGCCCCCTCTGGATACGCTCACTCACTAACTCACTGAAACGACTAAAAACTCATGCTTACACTCTTATCCAGTCTTACAAACATATATTTTGTATCATCATTAACAGTTTTTCCATATGTTTTTTTGTTTTTCTATTTTGTATTTTCTGTTTATTATTGTTGCGTTTTTTTTCTTCGTTATGATTTTCACATTTATGCTTTTCGAATAGATTTCAACATTTATATATAAAATGCTTCAAACTTACCACCAACAAATTAGTCTACTTACAACTTCAAAACAAAACGGATTAAACACACATCACTTTTGGCAAGTCATAGAAAGGATATTGAAAACAACTGCTATTGCCACACACACGCACACACAACAAAAGGATCTTTACCAATGTCTCCTTTTACCATCGTTTTAAGCATCACACTGTTAGCTGGTTCCCTGCAAGCTGGCGTTATTGGCGGTCATTATGGTGGTCATTTGAATGCAAATGCTGAATCACATGACTTTAGTGAGGGTTTAGCTAAAAGTGAATCCTCTAACTATGAGTCTTTAGGTTCTTTAGGTGATCACCTGCAAGAATCACACTTTCCCTCGGACTATGGACACGGTGAGGCATCTTTAGGTGCCAGTGAACACATTGAATATGGTGGCCATGAACATTTTTCTCAACATGAATCCATTGGATCATACCATGACATACACAGTGATTTACATGATTTTGATACCAAACCAGTTCCGGGCATTAACCATGGCAAAGGTGCCTTAAGTTACAGCACCACTTACGAATTCAAAGATCCTAAACCATAAATCTGGCAAAAAGAATTCGTGTAAAATATGTGTTTTTACAAAAAAGAAAAAACAAAAAATATTTAAAGTTTATTTGCGTTCAAGTGTGTGATGATGTTTTCATTTTGTTTTCCTCTTTTCTATTTGCAAAACTTTGCTTAAAATCTGTGTGAGTGTGTTTTTTTTTTTAATCTTGGTTTAAGCTGTGATTACGTTCTTCGTACTGATGATGATGATGATGGTGGTGTTAAACAATAGTAAATTCATGAAAAACAAAACTAAAAAATATAACAAATAATTATTAGACCAAAGAAAGTGTTATGAAAAACTGTGCGTGCATGTGGTTTTTCTACTATTAAGCTGGAAGCTGACGCCACAGCACGTTTAAGGAAGATTACAACACTAACAACAGAAATTCAATTAATTGTGCAATATATTTTTTATTATTATTTTGTTTTTCTTTTTTTTTAATTTCAATTTCATTTTGAGTTTTGTTTTGTTGTTATTAGTAGGTTAATTATAAAATCAAGTGTTTTAGTTAATAAAAAAAATTGTTTCAATATTTAAATAGATAAATTTTAATAAAAATAACAAGAAATTTTGTTTTATTTTGTGAGAATCTGTTAATCAGGTTAAGATCAACATTATGCAAAATATGGATATAATCACGAAATTCTGTTTTTTTTTTCACTCAAAGAAAATGCATTTAATAATACTACAAAAATGGATTTGAGGATCACAGGATCGATTATCTGAGTTTTATGTTCTCCTCTAGCAAAAAGCCTCAATTTGACAGAAGATAAAACCAGAGGGAATCAGAAATCATAAATGAATCAAATAATATGATGTTAATGTGATCTTCACACATAAAAATATTCAGCGATGTGAAGAAGATCGTGTTAATAACACTTTTAATTATATTTATCGTATACTAAACTGTTATATTCATCAATATATGATCAATAATAATCCAAAACTGAATTTTTTGTAAATATCATCACGATCTATTTTCGATCATCTGGATTTTCCTGTTGTTCACTCCCAAAATCAATTGGTTAGGAAAAGAACCAGAGGGAAATCAGAAATCATAAATGATAATTCAAATAACATGATGACGAAGTGATCTTCACACTTGAAAAGATCCAACGAAGTGAAGAAGATCGTTTTAAATATCTTTCAATTATATTTATCGTTTACTTTACTTTTATATTCATTATTGTTTGTAAATATCACCACGATCTATTACTAAGTATCTGGGTTTTCCACTGTCTAATCGCAAAATCAAAAAAGTTGTCTAATAATCCATAATTAGATAGAAAAAGAGCCAGAGGAAATCAGAAAAATCATAAATGATTCAGATATATGACGCAACGAAGATCAAATTAGCACTTGAAGATCGTGTTAAACACCTTCATGTTATATCCATCGTATACTAACAAATACCACGGAAGATTGTAAAGTGTCAAAGCCAAGCTACACTTAAGCTCAAGAGGCAAATCGCCGAACAGGAAAATTGACGTCTAGATATTATATATTCTAACCACTTCATATAGACGTATGATGATCATGATTAATCCATTGTAGTACTAGTGTAAGGATCAGTCTTTAAGCCCAAAATTAGATTTGATCGTGAATATCATAACGATCTGTGTTCGATCATCAGACTCCACTCGTAAAATCACAAATCCAGAGAAAATCGGAAAATTCAGATGAAGATTAACATTTATGACTTTGAAAGAGTTAACGAGATCAAAAGGATCGTGTAAAACACTTTTAGGACTTCGACGCGATTATCATACTTGAGAAGAATCAACGAGTTCAAGAAGATCATGTTAAACACCTTTATATTGTGTCCCTTGTATACTAATAAATATCATGATAGATTGTAAAGTATCAAAGCCAAGCTAATCTTACACCAAGGAGGCTCTTCAAAGACTCTTTGCATCAATATCTCAGAGCGACTTCACCTAATGCGGGAGAATGCCATTAAACGTGATCAGTTTATATAAACGTATTTCAATTTAAGAGATAACACAATTTTTGTTAACACATTTGCTTAACTAATGTTATTTTCATCAGTAATCAAGGTCATCATAAGCAATTGTCATACAAATCTCGTGCTTTAACTCAAACGAAAAATAAATAATATTTCTCATTTAAATTGCCTACAGCAGCCGTAAGTTAATATAGAAATGTCAAGCGGATAAATAAAATGCCCATCACGTTTAGTTTCATTTTTACTTAGTTATTTCAAATCTTTTAATGAAATAGATGCTTTCATGCATAAACGTTTGTTTCTTAAGTCTTTTGTTTTTATAGCTAAAGCGTGAAAAATTCATACATACGCACTTCTCTACTTAAGTAAATATTACGGTGTAAATATTGAGGCATTTTTTTTAAATACTTATTTTAGTTTTTACATAAATATAGATGTTTTTTCAAAATCTGCTAAATATGTTCATTTATGTAAAAAATATACAAACTAAATAAGGGTGTGAATATTTAATTATGTAGTTTTTCATTAAAACTGGTTTGGAAAAACAACTGAAATACAACAAACTAATTATTTACCGATACCACTAGTCAACAGAAATTTTTATATTTTTGCAAAGATCTGTAATCGATCAGTTTTATTTGTTAACACTTGAACTATACCAAATAACTAAAGAGATTTTTTAGGTTTTTTTCTTAGATTTTATTCTGAAGTTGAGGAACTCCAAGGAGATATCACTTTAGAAAAGTTAGTCGAAAAGTCCTATATAACAGATATTTGGAACATCGTGTAATTATCTGTCATCGAATATATAACGGATAAGAAAGTTTGGATTTCAACGAATATATCCATTACTTTCTAAGCAACTTTTGTTGCCTAGTGTTTTTATCATCATAACAAACATTAGTACAGTTATCGATTGCTTCCCATCTACGATGAGAATTTATTTTTTTTTTTTTTGTTACAATGTCTAGAAGTGCTAATTTGTAGTGTCAATAAAGTATAAATATACATTTTAGCGATAAGGGAAATACATCTATGAGAACAAGTGCAAAAAAAGATGGGATTACGTGTACTTGTTTGAAAACTGGTTTTATTTAATAAAAAAAAAATATCATTAGAATATTAGCGTTAACAGTTTAAGATAGAAATTTGTTTTTAATATTTTTTTTAGTAGTAATTTAATGAGATTAAATAGATCTTAATAGAAAAATAAGCGTTTAAACGATCTTTAGGAAATTAGAATAATAAACTGTTGCGAATGTTTGTTATTTAAACTTCCATGTGAGTACTTAGTTAAATGTAAGTTTTTTAATATATTTTTTATTAAACAACTCTAGATACATTCGCCTTGGGTGTTTATTTTATACTTAGTTTGACTAATAGAATACATTTCACATCTCCTTTATAGATTCCAAAGTTTATTCTGAAACTGTTAATAGAATTTATTGTACAAAACCTAAAAACATTTCTCCCATCTTTCGCTTAATGGTTGGTTATCGTGCTAATTCACTGAGCCGCGAACATTCAAGTAGAATCGAAGGGACCCCGTTTTGACAAGACCACCCCACTCGTCAGATGTGGAGTATTATGTAGTGTTAGATCACTACATTCGTGAGAAATCTCAAGATGACATTAAGTTTTGACCCAGATATCTCACCGAGGTTAGATAGGAAGTAACTGCCTTTAAAACTGTTTCTCTTATCGGCTAGAGCAGGACAATCACAGAGGAGATGGAAGACCGTTTCTTCATTTTCTCAGTCGTACTTATTGAAGGGGAGCCCCCAGCTGACTTGCATATCTGCCTAGTATCCAGTGTCCTGTTATTACTGCTATAAACCTGGATATATTCGGCCTATTTCGTGTTATAAGATGTCTTGTGTGTTTCTCATAGAAAGACTGCCACAATAATTGTAATTGGAATGAAAATAGCCTCTAAGTGTGCTATTCTAACACTTACAGTCTGCAACACTTTGTTTCTTCATTTTTTGTCAAATACTTTTCCCTACACATTTCTAACCCATATCTTCTTTTCCACTTCTTTTCATGTGTAATGAAGGTACAATATGTTGGGCAAGGTGGCATGGTTCTATACAAAGCGTACGTATCTTTACGACAGGCAAAATTTTCAGTGGACTTTCGGTAATAGGAGGAACGGCGGTTGGACGCGACGTCTTGTTCAACGATCAAACCTATGCAGACGTTACTGGGGTCACTGATTTTCAATGCCTAAACTAGGGGGCTCGATGGCCTCCCAGCATTTGAAGTGTTTGGCGTAATCCACGCTTCTTTTACTAGGGCTAGACTAATATTACAACCTATCAGTATCCTTATATCGGAGGGATGCTGTAAACTACTAACTCTCTCACTCAGGCACTCAGGTTTTTGACACTTTAGTCATTTCCTTTAGCCTGTGAAATGAGAGGTATGGAATTAGAGTGTTGGGATTATAAATTAGATATTGAAAATTTAGGAAGAGATAGGAAATTAAAGTAGCGGGATTTAGGGGGAGGGAAGGGACAGTTTTGGTCCACGGTTCAAGTTAGGGAGAGGTAGAAATTTAGAGTATTGGGAGAATAAATTAGATATTGAAAAGTTAGGGAGAGGGAAGGAACAGTTTTGGTCTACAGCTAACGACCATTTGTTATAAAATGTGTCATTAATCTTGATGTATTCTGTCCCCCTTCTAGAGACCATTTGTCTAAAATGTATCGACTGAAGTTTAGTGGAAAGATTATTCCGTCTCCTGTACTCTTCTAGAAATGAAAGGTTTATTGGTCTATTTTTTTAAATGTATCGCATAGCTCTGCCAAATCTCGAGCTGGAAGTTGAGCTTTTTATCAAAAGTATCAAAGTTCGCCAAAGGCTTTGTCTATCCGCATCTGATTGGAGACCTCCCATCTAATTCATGATTATTAAAATTTTTATTTTCAAAAAATAAAAAACTCTTTAGAAATCTGTAGAGTACTCTTATATTAACACTTATTTACTACTATACGGCATAAAAATAATTGCAAATTTAAAATTAAAGCAGTTTTTCACTTTTTTTTATCAAAAGACTATTAAACAAACATCGTTTAACTTGTTTCCACCTTACAACATATAAATTATTTACCATACGATTTTGCATAATGTTTACTCGTTATATCGGCAACATTATTAAAGTCAATATTGTCGCTTATTACTGCAGCACCATGATCATGAATACTGGCACCAATATTGACAGCACTGCTACCAATGCTGCTACTGCTGATTTGTGTGTGCAATTGAGAACTGGGTATTTCAAAATGAGCTGTATGTGCCGAATCATCTGAATGAACGGTATTAGCTATATAATCACTACCCGGATGTGTTGAGCCTATAGATGAGATATGTACTGCTGATGTATCTATAGCAGAGGTGCTATGATAATCGGGTAA